TACCTCCCAGCTTAGGTTTTGCCAAAAATAAGAAACTGCTGTGTAACCCTCAAATTGCATTCTGTAACAGCAAATGAAAATAGGCTTCTCTAATAGTTCTTCCCAGTGAAATTCAATACAGCTCCACCTTCCAAATAAAGCATAAAATGTTTTAACGTAGCTCAATATATTGCAAATGATCAGTTCAAAGGGCAATTCATGCTGGAAGGGAATTCAGGAGTTTATCTAATTAATATATAAACTGATATAAAAACGTTAAAGTAATCCGTCAGAGATTACTTCTAACGAAAACAAAGTGATTGCAGTCTGATAACATGCATTAAAATAAAGAACAGACTAATAACTGTACTGATTTTTTTTGTTGTTGTTGTTGCTGTAATGAACTGAGAAACCAAGTGTACTTAAAATACACAGAACTCCTTCCCTCGCTGCTTTGGCATTACCTAAGCTGCTTTGAACCTCAATGGATGAACTTGTAAGACTTTAAACTTAGGGGGGGGGGGAAAACAGCAGCTGTCAGAGTTTTGCTGTCACTGCTGGGGAAATACCGGGAAATGAAGTTTTGGAGGGAGGTGAGATTGCAAGTACTTCTTCCTTCCCCTTTGTGTGCACAGGAAGGGCTTTGGGCCTTCATTATGGAAAGTGTATTTTGGTTATCTACAGAGCGCACAAAAAAAATCAAAGCTTGCTGAAATCTACACGAAGATATCAGAACCTGTTCAAAACAGCAGAACTACAGCTGACTTCAGAATAGGCTGGAGAACAGCATAATTAGCGTACCTGGCACTAGCAGGGGGAATATCAAGGTTGGAACTAATAAGGAGATTAATGAGCAAGGTGTAGCTCGTTAGAGAACTGAGAGATGAGCCTGTGATGCCTACCAACAGCAAAGGCAGGCAAAAAGATGGACACTTGAAACAGCCCTTGCTACTTATCTCTACGAATTAAACATGCTACAGCAACGCTTGTAACTTCAGCCTAGTATTAACCACTTTGTGCCATGTGAAAGTTATAGAAAGTTCAAAGCAACACAAAAAATGCCTATGGTACTACTTTTGAAGAACTGTTTGAGTGTATACTATGAAGAACCAAAATTTGGATTCAGTCTGCAGAATAAACTCCGCTGTGTGCTGACAAGCTGTGTGCTGACAATTAGCATCGTGCTCTACCAAAAGAAACCTACATGAGAAATCCAGCATCAGGTCAAGCTGCGTGAGTGGGCATTGCTGACTCAGCCTGGATCCCGAGGATACCAGCAGCAGAGATTTTGGGAGGGCACGAGGCAGCATCTAATTTCTCAAGAGCACACCAGCACTCACGTATGTTGGAAGAGAAGCAACGAGCATGTCAGTTTAAACCTTTCCCACATTTGAATGAGAGGCTTCTCTGACGGAGTGATTTCAGAAACTTACACTGTTTGCACTTCTGTAACGAAGCAATAAATGCACGGAGATCAAAGTTCACTATAGAACAGCAGCAATCCCTGCAACTTCAGCTGAATTGCACAACACTTCATCAACAATGACAAAAAGATAAAAGAAATAGCTACTATTCACTGAGTTTTGCCAGCAGCCTTGCTTCCAGAAATATAGCCAGCTTCTACTGTACGAGATAGCTGCTCTGCCACTGACTGGCAATTGCTTCAAAATGAGTGTTTACCAGCTAGAAATGTCTCTTCAAGAGCCAAAGAAAACTGATTACACACCATTAGAATAAAACACAAATTACTACTTCTTTGTTTGGACAAAGTGCATCCCGCCTTTGTCAATTAGCAGACAATTGCTTTTGTGGAGGAACTGCTACAAAGAATGCTAGGTGAGTTTCAGAACGCACTCACCAGCTTACACTGCCTCCCTTATGGGGCTCCAAGAGCATCAGGAATGCCAAATTTCTTCTTCCCCATTCCAACCAGTTACAGAGGATGCATGAAGTCACTCAGCAATGGTACAGAGGATGACAACCTTACTCATCACTGTTTTGCTGCCTAAAATTTGGCACCTATCTGGGAAAATGTGTCTGTAGCAGCTTGTCTAAGGACACAGTCTATGTGCAAAGACACAACACACGTATGCTTTCTCTAATGTGATATTTCACAATTCATTAATGTAAGAGGAGGAGGGATCTGTTTAACTCCAACTTAGTTACAGGATGTTCAATACTCAACTACTGACAGTTCTCCTATTACACCACTCAGTACCAACAGCACTCTGAAAGTTACCTAATACAGAAGACAACAAAACCCACTTATTTTAAATGTTACCATTACTTAGCATCAACTAAATAAAGCTAAAACTCCTTTATGGACTTCAATCTGGAAACTAGCTGGGTAACAAATCCCTTTAACCAGCTGGAAAGAGAACTCCCTGCTCTCCAAGTGCTTTTGTTTACAAGGTTGTAATTACTGCTATTCAAAGATTTATTTACAGAGTTACTTGAGCAAGAGGTTTTGAACTACACATGGAACCAAACACTTACTAAGCACTTAAACATGAGATGTATAGGCCACGGGAAAGAAAGAAATGGGGAGAGGAGAAGCACATTCCCTGTACATGAGGAATTATGTTTTAAGTAAGGCACCAGGTTATTAAGCTGTTGTGAAACTGTCCTGACTTCTTCCTACACGTTCTCTGCTAAGGAATACATTAACATGGCCTTGGACTACCATAACCCCAAATCAATCCATTCTTTAAAAAAATCTATTAAAATGCAAAGTTTTCTATCTTATCACCAGGGAACTTTCCAAATCAGTTCTCCACACCACAGAAGCCGTAACTCCTGAGCCACACCATCAGGTAAGGGTGCATTGTCACTGCTGGGCTGTTCCTACGCCCTGCTGCCAGGGATCTGGCTAAATCAACTCCTCCGAGGTATGCTGCTGGAGAATATCCCCACAGATCCTTGGGCACCTGCAGCCAGCCAAAGGGTTCATGGATAAGGAGCCTAAAGGTCCCCACGAAGAGGTCAGCAGTCCAACTAGAAAATGTCAAAGGCAAAGTTCTAAGCAGTTAGGGCACTGATGACCCAATCTGCCTTACTTAAGGTAATTTCATTAACAGGCACTTAGCTCAGCCTGCTGCCTTCCCCATTTACAACACAGTGGGCCAGAATTACACGTTCACAACACGGTGTAAAATGTAAAGGTCAAAAACACCAAAGACAAGGTTGGACACTGCTTAGCTGAACACCTGCCACCCTGCACAACAAGTCTGCTACCCAGGGTGAAAAACAGCTGACACTGTTTTCTTCTCAATCATTCCGAACAGATTAACTGTTATTTTAAAATGTTTTCTTTAACTTATCTCAGCTCTACAATAATTTATGCTTCCCATACTGTTTTCAGTGTCAGTTACCTTCTGCCCTCATACACTTCTACTCATTTCTGGCCCAGTCATTGAGCTCTGCTTCTTTCCTTTTTGCCCCCTCCAATTTCTTTAACATGCCAGTAGCCTCATGATGCAGAATGTTTGAGAAATACATGGAAAATTCAGTACTCTAACCCCAAACAGAGAGCCCTACTGTTCACGTGCATCTCCCAGGGGAAGAATGAAGACATCTTCCTCCTGCTCCTGAAGGGGATGAGCACAGCATCACTGCTTCCACAAACAGGCCAGAAACTTGCCTAGAGAGTGCACTGCTCATCTGCTCTACTTGCTCCTTCTAGGTATGCCAAGAATGCTAACTTGTCAGGGTGACTGTACTATCCCAGCCTCTCCTTCCAGCTCTTTTCCACAGTTAGCAGCCCAGGTCTCTTCCCAAAGCAGTAAATGAATGGAAGCAAACTTGCTCTTGACAGTTTCACTGCTGCCCAGGGCCTTTCAGAGAGTAATTCAGTTCTTCAGTCTCTGGAGGGACCACCACATTACTTTAAGAAACTACTTACTGCCCTTTCAGGGCTTTCCAAGTCCTGGATATTTTACACATCCATTTTCACAAGAGCTCTTCTAAATTAGATTGCAGAAGAACCAGCTGAAAAGGCTTCAAAAATTATGTCACTGCTAATTACACTTCAAAATTCAAGTAGGCATTTTCAGTTACTCATGTCTGAGGAATTTCAGAGAAAAGGCTTATTGGAAAAGAATGTGGTAAACAAAACAAAAATCCTGAATTAACACATGACAAATACTACAAAGAATAAACCAGAGAGAAAGGAAACGTGGTAACCTAAGATACATGAGAGAAGGGGATCATTGTACCTTAGCAGAGGTAACACATTCAGTATCTTTTTAGACCAAAAAATCAGGGTGGAATGAAGAAAAGAAGATGCCACTTGCAACTTCTGCTACAGAAACATCACTGAACATCGCATTAGATGTGATATATTACACAGCCTGTGCTGCTACATGTACCTTTAGAAAACGTGATAGCTTCCAAAGGAAAAAAAAAAAAAAAAAAAAAGAAGCGCCCCAAAGCTTTACCACAATAACAGTAACACATCTCTTATCAACTTTAAGATTTTCCCAAAGCTATTGAAGAAATTAAGCAAACCGGAAAGGAAGAGGTCACCACCTATCACGTGATTCCAGAAATATTCCCTACGAAGGGAAGTTATTCCTGCCTCATGTGAAGGAACAAAATCCTTCTCTCTCTTGATAATTATAAGTCACAAGTCTTGCCTAGGGGGCTCACCAGTGACAGAAGGATACCCCCAACCCATGTGCAGTTCCACACGGGCATCCTTTTACCTCTTCCAAACAGAAAGATCCTGGTCCTGTTGTCAGACACCTGACAGGACCCAAGAATTCCTGAAACCCACTATTTCCACCACTCAGTTATACACGTTTTGGGGCATATCACAACCTCACTGCGCAAAGTGAGGTTATCTCACTCGCTATAAATGGAAACCCACGCTTATCTTCATGGAAAGCATTTGATATCAATGAAGTGCAAGTGCTCCAACTGTAAGAATACCAAGAGAAGCCTCTTTTGGCCCATTAAGCACATGACAACAACTTTAACACACTTCTCCAAGAGTAACGTTCCGGATGCAGGCCCCTTCTTACCTGATTTTGTAACTGGGCAAGGTATGCTTGCGCTTGATCACTTTCTTGAACTGGTTCACGATGATGGAGGTGAGCTGCGGCATGGGCCTCCCTTCGAACTGCGACTTTACCTCGAAGAGTATCACGGGGTCATCCATGAACGAGAAGTACCAGTGTGTGAAGGGGAGGCGCGTGAAGACCAGCTTCAGCTTCCCCATCACCCGGGAGATCTTGACGAAGAGGTAGGCCGACTTGCCGAAGACCAGGTCGGCGTCAATGGCCAGGTGGAAGCCGCCGTTGTACTCCAGGTCCACCTCGAAGCCCAGCTCCTCGGGGCAGCCCTCCTCGTTGCACACCACGGGCCGGAGGAGCTTGACGGCCTTGAAGACGGGCAGCACGTTGCCCAGCGAGACGTCCCGCAGGCTCAGCCCCTCCAGCACCTTCCCCGTCACCTTGGCCTGCAGCAGCTCCTCGAACTCCACCTTGATCTTCTTCGTCACCCAGTTCCTCACCAGGGCCGTGTCCCGCAGCTCCCTGAAGAGGAAGAGGAAGATGGCATTGAGGAAGTGGCACGTCTCCTCGCGGGACGACGGCTCCGGAGGGGGCTCTGCCGCCTGCTGCTGCTGCTGCTGCTGAGGCGGAGGAGGAGGAGGCGGCGGCTCGGGGCCCGCAGCGGGCGGCGCTGAGGCGGCGGCGGGCGGCAGCGGGGCCGCGTCCGTTGCCGCCGTGCCGGCGGGGGGGGGCTCCGCGCCCTGCAGGTACTCCCTCAGGCCGTGCCCCGCCGCCACGCGGGCGTAGACGAGGCCTTCGCCTTGCCCGTTGGGCCCGGGGGGCGGCTCGGGCTTCCTGCCGTAGAGGAGCAGGAGCTGCAGCAGCAGCGTCAGGAAGGCGCCGGCCAGCGCCGACAGCACGATGGCGTACAGCGGCAGCATCCCGGCCCTCAGCCCGGCACCGCCGACACCGCCACCGGGCGCCGCCGCCGCCGCCTCATCCACGTCCCCCCCCCCCTCCTCCTGTCCGCGCCCGGCGCTGCTGCTGCTGAGGCGGCGGCGGCCCCGGCCCCGGCCCCGGTGGCGGCGGCGGCAGCGGTAGGGGGCGGGGCCCCGCGGGCTCTCCGCGCAGCCCCATTGGAGGAGAGCGGGAGGCCCCGCCGGGCGCGTCACGGCGCCGGGCGCTGCGGCGTCACAGGGCGGAACGCGCATGCGCGAACGCGGGGTTTTTGTGGGGGCGCCGGGTGGGGGTACCCGAAATGGCGGCCGGGGGGTCGTGAGGCGGTGGGGAGGTGTGAGGTGCTCTGCGCTACTGACACGCTCTGTAGTCGAGTTTTTGTTGGAAAGCGCAAATGTGCTTTAAAAATGAATCCCCACCTGTTGGTCTCATGCGCTGGAACGCGTTTAAAGGCAAATCGGAGCAGCAAAGGCTGCTGGAGGATGTGCGGGGGCGGTCCCGCGGCGCTTTGGGGTCATTTTGGGTGATTCTGGGTGCTTGCAGCCTCCAGGTTTTCTGATCTCTGCAAGGCGTCCGCGATGTGCACAAAAGTTACTCAATAATAAAGCTTGTGGGATTCGGTTCTTGTGTTTTTCTACGCCTGTTTTTATTTAGTCACCTACCTCTAAAGAAGCTCCTATTTCATATATTTTAATATCAGGAAATCCAGGGTCACGCTGATTCCTTGCCAGCCTCGGGAGCTGCTTAAAAAAATGCAAACGAGGAGAAGAAAAAGTGAAATCTGAACGCTGGGGAGACAAAAACACCCCCCCTTTGTGAGTGTGTGGGGTGGGAGGATTGAAAAGCTCTTAATGAGGCAGGGCTGTGGTTTGAAACCGGAGATTGAGAGTATGAATTTTTTATAGGTCTTGTGACTGAAAGTTGAAATGCCTGGGTGTTTAACAGGGCATTTCTATAGAAATACCAGAGAGGTCATTAGTACAAAATTTGAGCCGCTCTGTTGCGGGCCTCCGCCATGGCTAATACGGGCATACGCAGCAAGAAAGAAAAGCTTTGGGATTTGCAACTAAATGACTTTTCAGATAAGGAATAATACCTTCAGGAAGGCAATAGTAGCCTTGGTTTTGTGTCGGGAAGAACACCAGGAAAAAAGGAAAAGGAAAAAAAAAAAAGTGTTGCAGATGTCTCAGTTGAGTATCTTCCCCTGTTAAATAAGCAGAACAGAAAATCTGGTGCATTTCGTGCACCTGATGGCGGCTTAAGAGTCTGAAATGTTCAGCTCAGTAATCGCTTTTCTTGTCTCCTAGGAACTTTTTCAATAGGAGCCGTGAAATCTTGGAGATGCTTTATGAAGCTAGAATCGCATGTGTTTCAGCATTTTCAGTGACAATGAAGGGAAATTAGTAATGTTAACACAAGTACAAGAAGGGCATGCACAAATTTTATAAAACATTAAGTAGGACTGAAATAAGTCCAGACAGAAAATAAAATTGTCAGGTAAAAGGGAAAAAAAAAGATTCATCTTCATAGCATCCAGAAATGACCTCTAGGCATATTTGACTTTGGCTTCAGTTTAGAAGTTACTGTTTGCATTTTCTGCAGGTCTGGATAAATAGAAAGGTGTGTGCAATCTGGCCAGTTTCCACCATGGTTACACAGAGCTTTGTACAACTGTATAGAATATACCCACCCGCTTGCTCTTTGCACAGCTGTAAATTAATAGGATTGCCGTGCAAAAGTTTGACTATGTATATATGATTTTTAATTAAAAAAACATACTAGGGGAGAATTTATTAGAAAGGATATTTCATCCATATCTATGTAAGAAAAATACTCAGGAAAAGTCCAGGTATATTATTGTGTTTTGTAAATCAGATTTTAGAACAAAAAACCCATAAGCATAGAACTTTTAAAAAATTTTTGACACTTTACAAGAGATTGCAACAGGGATAGTGAACAAGGATTGCAAAATATATAGAAATAGGTAATCTAGTAGAGAAAAGGAAGCGTAAATTCACAGAAACTGAATTTCTCATGTTTAAGCAAGAGTAGTGCTTAAAGAGTAGTGGCACCCTGGGAATATTTGTCGATATTCATTTCATTAGTGACTGATCCAAGAATCTATGGATGAAGCGAAATCTAGAAGAATTTTTCTGTTAATCCTATATAGTATGACCAGTGGAAAAAGCACACTTTAAAATGTGGCACACTGTGGCACTGAGGAGAGAAATGCCCTTGTCACAAACTTAGCAATATGATTACAGGTTGGGATTTTTCAAAACTGCAGCATAGTCTAAATAACAGATTCTTTTTCAAATCAGGAAATGCTGGGTTATTTTGTAATGAGTGGTTTTAGTAATTTTCTTCATCAGTGTGCTTTAGTCGTTGCCTTTTTTTGTAATATCTTTTGGCAAAAGTATTTCATTCTTTCCTGGGCCTCCTATTGTTTTTGTAATACATGTCTTAGAGACCAAAATTAGATTATCATTCTCATGGTACTGCATGAAACAGGATTTAGAAAGCGATTAGGTAAATTCATGAGGAAAAAAATCCACTGAGGGCTATTAAATACAAAGATTGCTGGAAGTTGCACTGGTGACAAACTACTGTGGTGTGTCGTTTCCTCTTAACTGTCCTCAGGCTTCTACCTTTTCAGACAGAATACTAGAGAGCAGCTCGTCTGGTCCTGTTTTGGAGTTCTGCAAAATTAAAAAAAAAAGGAAAGAAAGGAAAGAAACAGTGATCAGGACTGCCTGCAGTTCTAGTTCTGAACTCTCTATGCACAAGGTCATCTACTTATCAGGTGATCCTACATTTTATTGGAGTGAACCTCATTAAAAACTGAAGCTTTAGAGCATGTGAGATTTCTTTTGATGCCATCTAATTATTTTTTTTCCCCTCAGTTTTAATTCTGCCTTTTGAGGAGGCAGGTTGCAATATGAATCTGCTCCCAGTGTTGGCAGAAGGGGCTCACCCCACCTCCAACTGGTCATCCCCTGGAAGTCTTCTGTTCAACTTACCTGGAGAAACTCATCTGTTGTGTCCTTTCTGAGCCCATTATCTGCACAGAGTCTATCTCCTCTGGCTCAGCATTCATTTCTAAATCCCTCAAGCATAGTGCACCATCAAGAGCTCAGTTCCTTCATTCCCCACTTTACCAACTTTTAGTAATTTTTAAGGGTGGTGACTAAGAATTTTAAAGGACTTTATTTCTCTCCTAGAACTGACTCAGAGTGAATTCAGAAAAGGGAAGTAGGTTGATGTTTTTGGGGATTTGGATGGATTTTAAATGCTGTTTTTAGGATAGGCCTTCCCTATCTGAGATGCCTAAACCTCTGTTTTCAGTGTTAATAAGAAACAGCTTTGCAGTCTTACATGCAACAAGTAAAGCACTTGAGCTGGTTAGCTGGTTACTAGTAATGGCTTAAGGTCCCAAACAGTTTGGATCACAATGTGTCAAAACAAAAAGATAGTGAGAGTTTGATTCCAAGGTTCAGTTCAGCCCAAACACAAAGCCAGTATTTTGACTGAAGCTCATCTTTAATTATCATCAAAAGTACTTTATGCTTGTTTAATCAAGAGCTTAATATTTTGGATGTAAAGGTGCTTTGGATACTTATTTCAAGAGGCTCGTGTTCAAGCTTAGGGTATCCTGTCTCTTAATTAGGGATTCTGCTACTATCTCACCAGACCCTGGCTTTTATTATGTCATGGAACAAGATCCTCCACTTATGAACTGCAGCTTTGAGATAACTTATCCAAGATTAAAAAAAAAAAAAAAAAAAAAAAAAAAAAGCCATTTTAAATGTAAATGTAACAAATTCAGTCTTTTTATATTACCAGTATCCAAGGCATACTGAAGACTTCCTTTATTTCCAGCCTGTCATTACATCTTAAGTCGAAGAACTGCTTTTTAATTCAAAGACGCAAGTGAGATTTGTCACATGTATGCTGCTTCTTGCTGCATCTGCTTCACTGACTTCTGATAGTCATGTAAATGGTAGCTAAATCTTTAGAAAGTGGAAGTTTGAGATAGTCATTACCACATCTGTCATTTAATGCTCACTCAGGTAACTTTTCTTTACATTTTCTGAAACAGCTTCGCCATCCCTCATAAGAATTCCAGTCAGCCTCCCCGAGGCCCTCTTGCATGCTCCCACATCATCTTTCTCAGAGTGAAGATTGTTTTAGCTACTTCCCCTAATACATTTCAAGTGTAATTACACCATGATCAATATGTTTTAGATGTTCCACAACCTCAGAGGTTGGCTTTTTTTTAATACTTGGCTCCCTTCCTGGATTAGTCCAAATCGGCCTCTGTCTGATGTATGGGCCCCAACAAACTGCATTAAAAAGCAGTTTTGACTTTGTGGAAGGGCTCAATGGTGAAACAGTTAATGAACGCTTGATCACAATGTTTGAGACAAGGGTTCCTGTGAGGCTTTGTGCTTCACTTGCCCTTCACTAAGTGTCTGCGGGTGGCTGGTTATGCTCAGGGGCAGCAGGCTGGGGCAGGCCGCTTGCTGTGTCCTGCCAGCCTCCAGGTAAACCTGGCTGAACCACGCCACCGCCAAAGCTGCCCTGCTGCCAGAGGATATCGGTCCTGCTGTGAGCTCAGGACCAAGCACATGTCTGTGCATCTGCCATCTCAGAGCAGGGCTGAGGCTGTTATTAGCCCTTACTGCCATGACCAGGGGAAGAACTGCCCCGTGCCCTGACCTTCTGAGCAGTTCTGTGTCCTGGGCTCCAGGCAGTGCAAATACTCGACCATCTCATTTCACTGACTACAGCTGGGACCAGTGCTGTGCTGCAGCAGGTCTTGGGTTTCAGTCACTACTCACTAGCACCTGCATGTACTGGTGTGTCCTGGAAAGAAAAGCCAAGGGAATAATACAGAACTGTGAGGCAATCTGCACCACTTCTCCAAGCCAGAGGGAGCATCTCAGAAAATTTAGCCTAGATCTGTTGTTTCTTGGAAGAAGTGTCTGGGATTTATCTGTTATTTACCTTTGCCTCTCTGATCACCTCTGAGATTCATTGCACTGAAAAGGGAAAAAGGAAATTACCAGTCAGCTCATCTGCTTTCCGTATGGAGAAGGTGTGCTGTGTAACTGGGGCTGCAGCCATGCCTTTCTGCTGGCAGTCTGCGACTCCGCAGCCCTCTCAGTGCCTGCAGCATGGGCAGTCTCACTGCACATAAAAGTTGTCCATCTAAACACACAGGGAGGTGTTGGTGGAGCAGAACCTCTCAAACACCTGAAGGATCCTT